CCTGCAACAAAATGTAACCAATTATGTATTGACACCTACACTTCCTCATGTATGTACAAAATAAATAGGTGGCTCAGATCACACTCTGGGTCCACTCATCCCGAGGAGATTCCTGCGTGTGTCTTCTTTTCTGGCTTGTCGTTGCTTGCCAGAATTCATGAGTGACCCACCTTAATGTGGCAAGGCTGAAAATGCCACACCTCTTAGGGTTGTTATAAGGAAAAATGGGTGCTGGCTGAGCTCTTGAAGGAAAGGCAGCATAGATATTCAATTAATCAATTAAATCTGTTTAATATGTACAGTGGCTCAGGTAAGAAAATCACCTGTAGGCTTCCCCCTCCAAAACTTTGTCCAGGATATAAAAAGAAAACTCCTTTGAGCATGGCTTTCCGGTGAGATCTGCCATATGACATACGGCCTGCTACTGAGCATGCTTAGTTCTAATCTCTTCCCTCCCCCACCTCTACCCCCACCAACAATTTAATCCTGCACATCTTTGGGTTTCACAGAACTTTTCTCCTCTGCAGGGGTAGTATCTTTTGCCTGCCAAGATATTCACTTGGGGAATAACCACTGGTGAGAGTAGATGGAAATACAGAGCATCTGTTTCTCTGTGTGTGAGTGAACGGGGGCTGAATATTGGCAGTAATGCGTAGGGAAGATCTATCTGTGTTTCCATCAGCCACGCTTCTCATGTGGATATGTCTGCCTTGCACACCCTCCAGGACCCAGAGCCAAGAAGGGGCCTCCCCACTCTTCCTGCCAGTGTCTGGGTCTGAAGGGGATGGGAATTGCCTCTTTCTGTCAAGGATATAAAACTCAAGCTTGGCTTACTGCAAGTCTCTGTTTTCCTTCCCCTTTGCCAGAAAGTGGCAAAAGAGAGAGGTTTGTGCATGCGTTGGTCTGAGGTGGTGGTGGAATTTGGGACCTTTGTGCCCTCCATCTTTTTACAAAATAGTTTGACTTTCAACTCAAGTTTCAGTTAGGGGAGGGAGAATCCCAGAAAAGCAACCAGGTTCTTGACTTTGAACTTCCTTGTGGGAAGAGGATCACTTGCCTGCACACACACGTGTGTGTGTGTGTGTGTGTGTGTATGTGTGTGTATGGAGGGGGAGGGCTCTTGGGGAAAGAGCTTCCTTTCTCCCCTCCCCCCCCATGGCAGAACACCTGTTTTGCATGTAAAAATGCTGGAGTATCGCCTTGCCTTCCAGTTAAACAATCTGAAATGGCAGAAGGTTCCTCAAGAGCTTTCTATATCAAGAACTGAGCTGTCTGATTGGGAACAGCAATTCAGAGTTGACAAAATACATCTAGTCCTTGACTTACAACCATTTGTTTAGCCATTGTTTGAAGTTACAGGGGCATTGGAAAAAGTGAATTTGATGGGTCCTTGCTCTTAACAACTGTCACAGCATCCCCACAGACACATGATCAAAATTTGGGAGCTTGGCAACCAGCATGTATTTATGAAGATTGCAGCATCCCTGGGTCACTGGTGATTGCCATTTGCAACCTTTCCAGACGACTCAATGGCCGCATGATTCATTTAACTGGTCCCAGTTGTGGTTGTAAGTTGGGGACTACCTGTACTGTGCAAATTCTCAGATTCTTCATCTTGTAGCTGATGTTTAAGCCATGTCAAAAATAGATTATTCCCAGACTCCATTAAATACCTTCATGTGCAGACATGGCTTAACGTTGGCCATACTGTTACCTCCAATGTTTTTTAATCACTCTGCCCGATGAAAAAGTTCTTGGAAACTTGAAAGCCTGCTCATGATTTGTGAACCTTGAGTTGGCTCTGGCATACTAGTTTCGACTGGTTTAATGATAAAATATTGCTTTATTACAGATTTTTTCCCCTTATGGTCAACACAACTGCATTTGTTTCAGGAATATTACTGGGCTTTCCAGATATCTGAATTATTGGCTTCAATCCACTAAATGATGTTTTTACTTCTGTATATCCCTGATATATGGCATATCCCTGCCTGTAACTTCTGTAAGCAGAAGTTAAGCAGCTTCTATTTATCTCTGATAGATGAAAGGACATTCAGACTGAATTTTAGTTCAACATTTCTTATTTTGGAAAGTGCTGGTATTAAAGTACTCTAGTCTCCCATACAAGGCTGGACACTAGCATTTTGCAGCCTAAGATATAAGAATAATGACGCTTCCTTCCTTCAACAGATAGGGTGCTTAGTTACCCAAGAGTGGTTGTGTTATTTCCAAAAACATGGAAAAATAATAACAAGTGTTCCCTCCTCCCCCAAAACAATACGTAACAAAAATATTTAAATTAGCTTATTTATTTATTTATTTTAAAAATCAAATCAGTTGCTTGAAGTTGCTCTTACTATTTCCTAATGGCGAAACTGGTTCTACTATTAGAATAGACCGGTCCTTTTAATTTTTTGTAAATTTTTAAAAGCCTTGCTGAAGGATATTAGGTAAAGTGTTGAAATAATGGATATAAAGAAAGGACTGCTGCTACAAAATGACCCCAAATGTCCCCTTCTATTCACCATCATGCAGTTTTACCAGATAGCAGTAAAGGGTACAAAGTAAGTCAAAATTAACAGTTGTTTTGCTTCCCTCTCTCAAAGGAGGGTTTAGAAGTATAATTGCTACAAAAGACAACCACGCATTTTCATGCCCTTAGTTCAATAAGATTTCCTTTGTCTAATGGCCACATCAAGCTCCAGCCTAACTCTGCAGCTTTTGGAATGCTCACAAACAAAGAAGCAATCAGAAAAGATTTAATAAAGTTATTTAATCTGGATTCAGAGACAAAGCAAAGATGCACAATTCTTGTCATTTCCTCGCAGTGTCTTCCAGTATAAGATTTGAATCCAGGGTATGCCTGTGGGGAAAAAAAAGATTGTGTCTCTTTGGTAGGTAATCTGGAAGGTTTAAGGCACAATGCTATTGCACCCTCCTTCTTTTACAGTCTCTCTCTCTCTCTCTCCTCCCCCCCAATTTCCTTTGCTGGGTGGAGCTGCGGAAGGAGTGAGCTCACAGCTGCCAATGTATTCCAGATGGAACCTCCGCTCTCCATACTCCTTGGCCCTTTCCCAAACCCTTTCATTCTTGCTGCCCCCTCATGCCCTCTGCTCTTTTTACACACTGCTGGTCTCTGTGCACATTGCCCTGAGCCAGTGGTTCTCAACCTGTGGGTCGGGACCCCATTTGGGGTCGATCAACCATTTCATGGGGGTCGCCAAGCAAGGCTGTCCACCATTTTTTTTGTCCGCCATTTTTTTGTCCGCTATTTTTTCCCCCCTTTTCCGGCGGGTGCCTTACCTCCCTTGGGCTGGGCCAGCTGGTGGTTGGCCTGCTCCATCTCTGCCGCTTGCCAGCTACGCCTCGGCCGGCGCAGGGGGCGGAACCACCCATGCACGGCGCTCCCGGGCAGGGAAAGTCCTCGACTTACGACCGGTTGGGTAGTCCTCGACTTATGACCGGTTTAGTCCTCGACTTATGACCGGTTTAGTCCTCGACTTACGACCGGTTTAGTCCTCGAGTTATGACCGGTTGGGGTCGCGGCATTAAAAAGGTTGAGAACCACTGCCCTGAGCAATTTCCTGGCTGGCCCTTGTTCCTTTTGACACATCACTAGGGGGCAGTGGTCTTCCTCCAGGCACAAAATGTGACCAGTTGCTCATTGCTGCAGGTAACCATAACAACCTGGCTCTTCCCTTTAATTGGCTCAACAAGGCAATGAAAGGACATCAGATAGAAAAGGTTGAAGGCAAGAGGTCCTAGTCCTAGGGCAGCATCACGAGGTATGAGTTATGCAGAAACCACAAAACTGCGAGGGGCATTCATTGCACTTGGGCAAGGAGGGAACAGTTGCAATTCTAGGTAAAGGAAATAGCACTTTTGTTTCATTGCATAGTTTCAAGGGGATTGGATGGGCTGGTGAAAGGCTCTTGGAGGCTCACGCCCTCCCCATGCATATTCTTTGTTTTTGCAGGAACCTGAGCCTGTGGAAGAATGTGTCCAGAGCACACTGGCTGCCTTGTACCCTCCTTTCGAAGCCACGGCCCCCACTCTTCTGAGCCAGGTCTTCGAAGTGCTGGAGCAGATGTACCAACACGATGCACTGCGCTACACCCTTGACTTCCTTGTTCCTGCCAAGCACATCTTGGCTCGCATCCAGAGTGAAGCCTGTGTGAGCTCCTGCTTCGGTTTGGCTCTCTGTCTGGAGTACTTCTGAACAGGAAATCTAGCTTGGCAGTGTTGGGCAATAGAGAAATAATCCGTGCTGGTGCCAGAATCCCATAGTGCAGCGGTTCTCAACCTATGGGTCGCGACCCCATTTGGGGTCGATCAACCATTTCACGGGGGTCGCCAAGCAAGGCTGTCCGCCATTTTTTTCCCCCTTTTCCGGCGGGTGCCTTACCTCCCTTGAGCTGGGCCAGCTGGTGGTCGGCCTGCTCCGTCTCTGCTGCTTGCCAGCTACGCCTTGGCCAGCGCAGGGGGCGGAACCACGCATGTGCGGCGCTCCGGGGCAGGGAAAATCCTCGACTTACGACCAGTTGGGTAGTCCTCGACTTACGACCGGTTTAGTCCTCGACTTACGACCGGTTGGGGGTCGCGGCATTAAAAAGGTTGAGAACCACTGCCATAGTGGCTCTCTGTGTGGGAGTCAGCTAGGATATCAGTGGCCCTCCAAAGAGTGTTGAATTCCATCCCCCATCAAGTCCCATAAATGTTATCCAATGCCTGGAGGACCATAGCTTTTCTAATCTAAATTGAAGTATAGGAATTTTTTCTTCAGTTCCTGGGTATTTTTAAATTTTTAATTCTATACTCCTCGACTTATGACCACAGTTGAGCCCAGAATTTTGTTTGTAACGTGTCATAAATTGAGTCACCATGAAGGACTAGACTTGATTTTATGATCATTTTTATGATGGTCAGTAAGACAGTCACCATGGTTGTTAAGTGAATCATGTGGTTGTAACTCCAAATCCAGATTATCCAATGGGTGTTTTTTTGCTGGAAAACAGAAAAAATAAAATAAAATTGGGAAATGTGATCATGTGCTGTAACTGGTTGTAAATGTGAGCCGGTTCCCAAAGTGCAATCACAAGACCAGGGGTGGTGTGGCAGTCACAATCTTGAGGACAGTTGTAACTTTTTTTTAATTTGTCATAGCTTGCTAAATGACTGGTAGTAATTCAAAGACTACCTGTATCATGTTCCCACATTTTCTTATAGTAGTAACTCCTTCATAAGTAAACTTATATGGCAAGCAAGTATTAGCAAAGTGAATTTCGGGTGGGATATATAGATGTTAGTGTTCTTTGGTTGGAGAGTCTTAATGTGTAAACTAGATCCCCCTTTTTTCCCTTACTCTTCTCTTATTTGGCAATTTTAGTTTTTGTGCAGAATTCTAATCAAGTTCTTCATCGCGGTGAAATGCCAGAGCTGAGCTAAGCTAGGAGATGCTTGTTGTTTCTACATGGTGGGAAGAAAAAGAATGATATACTACCCATTAATGCAATATTTGTATTGTATACAGGTAGTCCTTGACTTACAACCACAATTGAGCCCAAAATTTCTGTTGCTAAGTAAGAAATTTGTTAAGTGAGTTTTGCCCCATTTTACGACTTTTCTTGCCACATTTGTTAAGTGGATTACTGCAGTTGTCAAATTGGTAACACCGTTGTCAAGTGAATCTGGCTTCCCCATTGACTTTGCTTATCAGAAGGTCACAAAAGCTGATCACATGACCTAGGTCACTGCAATCGTCATAAATATGAATCAGCTGTCAACCATCCAAATGTAAATCACGTAACCCTGGGGATGCTGCAACAGTCATAAGTGTGGAAAATGGTCATAAGTCACTTTTTTTGGTGCTGTTGTAACTTCCGAACGGTCATTAAATGAACTGTTGTAAATCGAGGACTGCCCTTATATAAATTCCAGTATTCTGTATTTCTTAATATAACTATCTGACTTCCCTTTCTCCTCTTCTCTCTTTCCCTCTTCCTTAGGCTCAGTATAGTGGCTTTGTCTTTTGTCATGAAGGTTGGCCCCTGTGCCTTCATGAAAAAGTCCTTGTCCAGCTGGGCTCCTTGCCATGGCAACGCCTGTGTCCCGGGGATTTCTACTTGCAAGTGGTACCTCACCGTGAATGTGCTCCCCGCCTAGTCCTGAAATGCCTCTCGCTGGAGGGCCGAGGAGTGCAGGAGTTGCCTGTGTCTCCGGACTCCTATCGATTCCTGTTCACCATTGAATGGCTCAATGGCATCAACAAAGAACGTCGGGTAGGGCGTCTGGAACGCTGCTTGCTGGCAGCTGGAGAAAAAGTGCTGAGCTTGCCCTGGGCTGAGCTTGTGTATCCTCAGTTTGTACACACAGATGGATTTATTGTGGGGCAGCATTGCCCTACGGGTTTGACTCCCGAGGTCCTGGGGGCAAGGAGTCCGGGTGACGGACGTCATTCTGGTGGAGAGAACCGGGAATCTGAGGGGGAGTACGTTCACCTCTTAGAGGTCAGCCCCACCTTGCATCAAGCACCCAGAATCCCACAACCTTGCAGTGCCCAGATTCAGACAATGCCTGCTCGCAAGGGATATAGCAAAAATAGGAGTCGGCGCCACCGGGCCTGGCTCCATCATAAGTCAGGCTGCGGGGAGAACTTTGCTTTGCGACAGGCTTGCAAAACTGAGGAAGCAGAGAAGTCAAGAGAAGGGAGTCCAAGATGAGAAGGTAGCTCAGCTGAGACCAAACCTTAGCCCAGCTTTGGGCCCAGCCTTAGACACTCCTGGAGTAGTTGGGAACTTGAATCCTAAACAACTGGAGGAAAACCTAGATCCTATTGAAACAAAACCACCACCCATTTTGAGTGGTAGTGATGATGTTGCTGAAGACACAGTTCTGGGGAAAGAAGACTTGCTTGACTCCATTCACCGAGATCCAACTCCTCCTAAGGAGGACAGCAAGGAAAGCCATTCTCCAGCTTTAGCAACTCCAAAATGTACCACCAAGGGAAACCGGAGGAAAAAGAAAGATGCTGGGAGAGGAGCTGGTGGTCGGATTAAACGGGACAGATTCTGTGAACCAAGAAACAGGAAGTTCTGATCTTAAAATGGGTGCTGAAAAGGAGGAGGCCTGCACTGGTCCAGGAGAACAGGATTTTGGGACCAGAAGCGTTCATGTTAGTACCAGAGAACCAGGCAGCATCAAAGTTTCATGTGTTGATACCACAGATGGCGATGACACCCAAGAAAAAGGTATAATCACAAGAAACCAAAGCCTTGAAACTGGAGGGGAGGGAGCCAACAATAAGGACCTGGTTGTCAGCACTGGAGACTGTACTGCAGGTGCTACAAAGCCAGAAGACAGCACAGGAAAATGTAGCATTGGTGACAATGAAGGCAGCTCTGGAGAAGGAAGCATGGAAGGCCCAAAACTTAACACTGAAGAGCCAAATGCTAAACCCAAGACTAGTGAACCAAGAACTGGTACTGAGGAGGTGAGTGTCCAAGAAAAAGAAGTGGACAGTTCTGAAGACCAGTGTATGATGGAACAGGGTCTTGACATCAAAGAACCAGTGATTACTGACTTGCCAAGGAAGAATGAACTAGCAAGTGTTGATGGGAGAGAAGAAGCCATATGCATAGCAGCTGATCAGGGTCCTGGGGAAATACAAAATTCCCTTTTACCCAAGATTGGGGAATCTGTAAACTGGAATCTTCTTCTATCAGGAGTTTTTGCTTTGACAGGTAAGTCATCAAGTCATCACCTTTTGGCTGAGATAATCATCTGGAGATGTTGAAGTTGATTTGTTTTTCCCTTCTAATAAATCTTCAAAAAGAAGTAGTAGAAAATTTAATCTCTAATGTGGCATTCCCCAATCTGGATGCTTCAATTTTTGGACAAGTTTTCTCAAAAATCCTCACCTCTGGGACCAATAGTCATCTGATTGGGTATTCTAAAAATCCTAATCTAATACATCTGGAGAGCTCCAGATTGACGAATGCTTTGCTAGTGCTTTGATGGTTATGCACAACAGTATGGCCGTATAGAGTCAGAATAAATTATAATGGAACCTGAAGCTTGTTTATCAGTCTCCCTTGGCATGATGCCATTCAGATGTGCAGAACTGCACTTAACATTCATCAAACCAACATTGTACTTGACAAAGTTGGGGATGACAGGACCTGTAGTTCACACATCCAAATTGGTGACTATTGCAGGGGGTTCCACTAGCAGCATCTGTAAGGGGGTCCAAAGCAGCAAGATGACAGACAAAGCATTGTTTTGCAAGCCGTGATCTCTCACACAAGTTCAGATGTGTGGGGCTTGCACCATGACACTTTTTGTCTGCTCTCTTATGACTTTCACATCTCTCAATTCCACAAATTAGCTAGTTAACTAGCCAATTTGCCTAAAGCTAGTTAACTTTAGGCAAATCAGTAGAGTATACAGTGCTTTGTATCAGAGGATAGAAAGAGTATTAATGCCTCTTCCTAAGAAGTATCCACACTTTTTAAATTATATTTTGCCCCCTTTGGATATTATGTATTTCAAAATACTGAGATTGGAGCAGATTTTGTCCCCAATATGCTTATTTTCTTTGACTTTTCAAGGTAAAGCAGCCCTCTGTTGTTTGGCCTTCTGCTCCATTATGTAGGCTTGAACTAGATGTCATAATTAAGAAACATTGACCAACTGTGGTGAAATTAATTGGAGATAATGGGTGAAGACAGTGGAGAAATAGATTTTGGATGCCATTACTGATAGATGGTCTGATTTTGGGGGGCACAAAATGGCACTGCAAGAAATATTTCTTGCTGATATTAATGCAGGCTGATGTGTAAATGCATTATTCAGCTCTAGTTTCCATAGTTGGTGCAGGATGACACTCCAATGGATTCTGCCTTGTATTCATGGGGATGTTGTGAGCTGTTACTCCAAATAGCATGATCGGAAGTGAAGGATACTGGGAGTTATAATTCAGGTGCAACATACAGAAGGTAACTACTTCTGTAATGGTGCAATTAACCATTTGTATTTTCCATTGTGAGCAGTAAAATAACTTGGGGCAATCTGGGCTGCAATTCCAGCAACCTGATTTAACCAGAAAGTCCTAGAGGGTCTGCAAAAAAACATGAAAAATAAAGAAACTTTATGAATTGTGTACTTAGCTCAACAACGATGGCTTCAGATTGCAGCCTAAAACTTTCCTGTGAGTCTCCGCAGGCTTTTCCAACAAACTTGTCCTTTAACCAACATTTTTGCCATCTTACTAAACATCATGAGGACTAAATGAGGCAAGCCTCTGTGCTCGCCACATCACAACAATCTGCAGAAACCACTCTCTTGCCTCAAGCCACCAAATACAGGCCAGAATGACACCAGCGCCTGATCATGTTACTGAAGGCCGCTGGCTTTCAAAACAGGAGGCAGGCCTCCCTGAAGAGGTACTACATGGAAAGTGTAAACAAAGAGAGATTTGGAAAGAAAGAGAAAATAAGAAAATATAAGAAAACTTGAAAAGGAAGCACTAGGCTGGTGAATCCATTTCCAAAAGAGTAAGTTAATGTCACCTATTAGAATCCTTCAGTTTTATGAACATCGCTCCTAAAACCTGTATATACATGTAGTCCTCACTTAACAACACTAATTAGGATCAGATTTTCCATCACTAAGTGACACAATCGTAAAGTGTGACATTACATGTCCATGCTGCTTCGCAGTGCAAATTCTGGCACTTTTGGTTGCCATTATTAAGCAAATCACTGGGTTGTTAACCAATGATGTCACATGGTTGCTTTTTGTGAATTCCTGCTGGCATCCCCATTGACCTTGCTTATAACAAGTTGGTAATATTGCAAATACTGATCATGTGACCATGGGGACACTGCAGCTGGCATAAATATGAGAATTGGTTATATTTTGGTCATTCAACACTGGTATGAGTTCAAATGTTGTTAAATGAAAACCATCTATAATAACTTCCAGTATGATGTCGCTAGAAGATCCACAAGCAGAGATGAACAGATAGTCATTCCTGTTATTGCCTCCAGGATCAGAGAGAGAATGCTTTTTAAACAAGGAGACTCTGATAACCATTATTTTCTGCAGAATTTTTCAGTTCTTTTCATCCTCTCCATTTTGATTTGGGAGATGCTGTAGAAATACTAAAAACAGCCCAGTTGGGACAAACCAATGCTTGATTAGGTTCAGTGTTCTGTTGCCAGTGTTCCAAACATTTGGATGCCTCATTAACTAGTAGAATGGCTTGCCTTCAGATGTTGAGAGTGCTCCATCACTGGAGGCTTTTAAGAAGAGACTTGGCAATCAGTTGTCTGGAAAGGTATAGGGCAAGGGTCCCCAGCCCCTGGTCTAAGGACTGGTACCAGTCCACGGCATGCCAGCAACTGGGCCATACAAACAAGAGAAGCCCCATCTGTGGGATGCAGGCAGCATGCAAAAGCATGCCTCCTCTGGTCCATGGAAAAACCTTTCTCCATTCAACCGGTCCCTGGTGCCCAAAATGTTGGGGGCCACTGGTATAGTAAGGTCTACTGCTTGAACAGGCAGTTGGACTAGCAGATCTCCAAGGTACCTTCCAGTTCTGTTATTCTGTTAAGGTCCTGCTTGGGTGACCATTTATGCATCAGTACAAAAGAGGAACTATTTAGTGCTTGCATAGGTGGATATATATAGATGTATGTATAGATCCAGATTTAGAACAGATTATATTTTATATAGATATACCACACTTTACCATACTAAAATATAGACATTAGGTGATCTATGCTTTGTATTTCTTATGCTTAGAAACCAACAGTTGATACTAGCCAAGCATCAGTCTCTTGTCAGCATGCTTTTTCATACAGATCTCCTTTCTGATAGAGCAGCCTTTTGGTGTCTTCCAGATGTATTTGGGCTGCCTCCCCTAGAATGTCCATTGCAATTGCAGGACACCTGTTTGGAAATGGTTAAATTAAATGATAGTGATGATTAGATAAATGGAAGATCTAAATTAGAAGTTATAGTTAGCAGTAATCCTCAGCATCTGCTATTCAAAAGAACATCACATAATAGAAATCATATTTAGTTACCAATGAATATAATCCCCGATCGACCTGTTTTCCATAATACCTTGTAAGAACCTTCTAAATTGGAGAGGGAAATGCCATTTCCTTTCAGCTGAAGTGTTTGAGACATTTGGGATTAGATCCAAAGGTTGACTTCCTTTGACAAAAGGATATTTTCTATCAGTGGAAGACTGTAAAAGGGAGGAGGCATACAGAGACGAGGCATATAGCGGCCCGGAGGTTGTGCCGGCTCAGCGGCGTGTTATACAGCGGCCCGGAGGACGCACCAGCACAGTAGCACAGCGGCCCGGGTGGAAGAACGGCCCGGGCGGAGGACAGGGCCCAAGGGAGGCATGGGCCGGAGGGACATGCCTGACGGTGAGTGCCTGGGGGCCCTGGGGACCTATGTGACTGTGCTTGGCGGGCCCGGAGGCCTACGCTACTGGCTGGCCGACTTTGACTGTAACTCCCTCCCCCCCTCCCTTTTTCTTTCTCATGGGGGGTGCAAAGACTTACGAACTATATCGTCTTCTTCAAATCCATCTAACCCCTTGACCACCACCACGAGGACTTTCCCCCTTCCCGACTCTGCTGTTGGACCTCCTGCCATGATTCGGAACTGTATTCCAGGAGGGAATTGCTGGCCCTGCGCGACTCCCCCATCGCGCAGGCATGGCCCAACACGATTCCGAGGGCCGGCCTTAATGAAAGGGTTTGGAACCCCGAGAGGTGGCACTTAGCGGCAGCAGGGAGGGATCTAAGAAGGAGGAAACT